CTAGCACTTCTGCATGCGATCTTTCAAGACATTGTCATGACACACACTGCTTGAGCTGTAGCACGGAGACATTGAATCCTTTGCAGGAGAATGATCCAAGAATTTCCTCCTTCACATTAATATCCTATGAGTGAGCACAGTCAGGTACTCTCGGAAGTTGTAGAGATAATCTTCAGAAACTACCTCTGAATAAAAGCCTATGAGAGAAGTATCACATAGATGACCATCAGCAAAGTGGTACTTTTATTTAAAAAAACTTTGTTATCATATAATTGACATTTTAAATTGACGATTTGATAAATTTTGATATATGTATACACACAGGAAGCCATTACCATTATCAAGATAGTGAAAATATCAAAAACCTTAAGAAGTTTTCTCATGATCTTTTGTAATCCTTGTCCCCTGCTTCTCCATACCCTTCTTCATTCCCACGGAACCTCTGCTTTTTGCACAGATTAGTTTTGCATTTTCTCAAATTAGTCAATTTTGTTGATCTTCTTGAAGAGTGTACTTTTGGTTTCTTTTTTTTTTTTAAGTTTATTAATTTTTGTTATTAGCTGTGATTTTTATTTTTCCTATTTACAGTGGATGTAATTTGTTCTTTAGCGAGCGCTCTGTTGATTTCTTATTTAATGTATTATGTTCAAATAACAGTTTGTATGACTTGAATCCTTTTAAGTTTATTGAAGCTGTTTTATAGTCCAGAATATGGGCTCTCTTGGTAAATGTTCTCAAAAAGATTGTTATTTAGATCATATTTGGAAAACTTTTAGCCATTATTCAGATTTTTTTTGTTCTCTCCCCACTTTGGATATTCTAATTACATGTGTGTTAAGTTACTTGAAATTGTCCCACAGCTAACTAATGCTATTTTCATCATTTTTAATTCTTTTATTCTGTGTCTTATTTCAGATAGTTCTTTATTGCTGTGTCTTCAAGTTCACTGATGTTTTCTTTTGCATTGTCTAATCTGCCATTAGTTCTACCCAATGTATTTTTTATTTATTTATTTATTTTTATTGGGGAATTGGGGGGATGGGAACAGTGCTGGGGAATTGGGGGAAGGGGAACAGACAAGTTGCTGTCATTTTTGTTCTTCAATCTAGTTGTGGAGGATGTTGCTTCACTGGCCCAAGTTGGCACTGTCATTGTGCTCTTCCCTGGTGAGGCAGATCAGTCGCCGGTTTCTGGACGGCCGCTCACTGCGGCTGCTGGCCGCTGAAGCTGGCTGCTGGCTACACACGGTAGCCCATGGCAACCCACTGCCACAGGGGCTGCAGCCTACGCTGTCGCCGGCGACTCATGGCAACCCAGCTCCAGGTTGAGCTGTTGTTCAGCATCTTAGCTGTAGAGGGCAGTGTCACTGGCCCTCATATGTGGGATCTGAACCGGGGCCCTCTGGCATCCCAAGCAAGTTCTAAACCATCGCGCCACTCGGCCGGCCCAACCCAATGTATTTTTTATCTGAGACATTGTAACTTTCATCTGTAGAACTTTGATTTGGATCTCTTTCTATATCTTCCAAATCTGTACTTATATTTTGTAGATAAGGAATACAATTATTACAACTGTCTTAATGTTCTTATCTCCAATTTTAACATCTTTGTCAAGTCTGGGTTGGTTTCAGTTAACTGATTTTCCTCTTCATTATGAGTCATATTTTCCCATTTCTTTGCATACCTTCCAGACTTTGATTAGAGACCAGACATTAATTTGTTTGGTGCTGGTTATTTTTATATTCCCTTTAAATATCCTTGACCTTTATTCTGGGACAAAATAAAATTAATTGGCAATTGTTTGATCCTTCTGGGTCTTGCTGATAAGATTTGTTAGGTGGAAATGGGAGTGTTTAGGGGTAATTATTCCCTACTATTTTTTAAAATTTTGTTCAATATTAAACACTAGCACCCGGTGGAAAGGCTGGCGAGAGCATATGGTCTGCAAGACAGACAATCCTATTTACCCGTAATGAAAGGGACAAAATAGTTTTGTGGGAGGTGGGGACACTGGCTATAAAATAGACAGAAGAATTTCTAGGGAGGGGGCTTCTCTAGCAGAAGTGGAAGGATAGTTGGGAATCACAGGAAATGAAAGCTAGAGCTTTTCGAATGGAAAAATGAAGACTAGTCCTTAGTTCAGAGGTACAGTTCCAAATCAGATGTGGTTTATACATATGTTGTTAAATGTTTAAGGAGAGAAGATAAGAGCTTTAAAGAATGAGGACATTTATATGTTCCCATGGTGGGATGGTAAGAAAAACAGGCAGTATTAGGTACGCTGACCATATCCAGTAAAACACAGGATCAGTATTCTTAAGGCTGTTATATTGATTTTCATGAAAAGTAATTTGTTTTTCTAGGCAGTGAATATGCCAAGCCCTTCAATAGTACCATAAAAATTATTAGAAAAGAATATATTCTCTCTGTTTTTCCTGAAGGGTATCATCAGCTATTAGGAGTGGCATAAGCTCGAAGCTAAATTTAAATATCCTTCAACATACACTTGTCATAAACATGATTCAAATGATCAATAGTGAACCATTTCTATATCATCATGTTTTGGGGAATTTAGAACATTTTTACGTTGGTGGTTTAGTATCCAGCCTTTTGATGTTTTCACCATGGAATATGCATACTTTTCATCAGTATGTTTCTAAATGTCAGTCACTGCCTTCTGCCTTGTGTTTCATCTACTAATGTTTAAATAGCATTGCAGTGTCCCTGATATAGAGTTCTTTTAAGCCAAAACCAGTTACAGGAAGAATAGTAGAGAGATAAGAAATATAGACCCCCAAAAGTATAGTATAGCTACGAATGCTATAACTGGGAAGACATGTCACCTTTCATTGCTACAGTTAATGCAGAGGTAAGGACTTGGACCAGTGGTTCTCGACCCTGGCTTTATATTAGATAACCTGGAGAGTTTTTTTTAAAACTTTGAATACCCAGGAATTCTGATTGGGACCTGGGCAACAGTATTTTTGAAGATTCCCCCATATGGTTCTAATGGTCAGCCCAAGTTGAGAGCCTCTGTTTTAGACCAACTTTGAAAGCAGAGTCAGGTTAGAAATATCTACAGGCTTCGGAAAAATCACTGTAGTGACACAAAGACTAATCTTTGTGCAGGCTGGGAAGCATAGTTGGATTGTGTTTTGATTTTTTTCCCACCTTCTGAGTCACACCTAAGGAGAGTAACTGTTAAAATAGTCATCTTCAACAATGAAGAATAGCAGTACTATATTATTATGGAGTTCAGAAAGGTGTAAATGCAGTTTTTGTGAAGGCTGAGGCTAAATTAAAACACCATGATAAGACAGGTGATCAAGACTTGCATCATCAGTGATAAGTCATGTTGATAGCATTTACACTTGATATGATGTGAAGAGAATTGTCACTTTATCTCTGTGGTCTTCCTCCTCAAACCCATAATCCCGCGTAAATGTGAAAAAAAAACCATACAAATCCCAACTGTGGGACATTCTACAAAATACCTGATCAGTACTCCTCAAAGCTGACAAAGTCATCAAAAACAAGGACAGTCTGAGAAACTGTCACAGCCAAGAGGAGCCTAAGGAGACCTGACAACCAAATGTAACATGCTATCCTGGATGGGATCTTAGAACATTAGGTAAAAGAACATTAGGTAAAAATAAATATGAATAAAGTATGGATTTTAGTTAATAATAATGGTTCATTAAATACACCACACTCTAATGTAGGATGTTACTAATAAGGGGAAACTGGGTTGGGGGCATATAGGAATTCTGTGCTATCTTCACAATTTTTTCTGTAAACCTTAGACTGTTCTAACCCTAGTCAGTAATTTGCTGAAAATGATGCCTTGATAGTTCAGTCACCATGCCGATGAGTGTATGGTTTCCAGTTAGCTTTATTAACTAACCCGTGACAGGGTATGGATGTATTAGTCCCAATTCGTCACTCCTAATGGAAAGTCAGGATGGGTTAACACCATATTAAGGGTAGGACAGTAACATCATGTGTTTATAATTTAGAGCGCATTTCAGGATTACATACAGTTTCAGCACCCCCATTTCTCCCATCCCCCCACCACCCAAAAAAAAGAGAAGAAAGGGGAAAAGGAAGGAAAGTAAAAGAAGGAAAAATTGAAGGAAGGAAGGAAAGAGGAAAAGGAGGAGAAGAAAGAGAAAAGGAAGAAAGGAATGAGAAAGGCACAATGGTTGGCACATAGCCTGTGTATTTCTAAGGCTATGAGGATGCAACTAAATTATAGATAAGTTGTAAATAATATAACTTGATGGGTACGTGATGTTGGAATAAATCACAAGGTTATAAGCAATGATACTAAGTTCAGCTGTTGCAGCAAAAGTATTTGAGTTTATAGATATTAAGCAGTAAAAGTAAATGTTGGGTTTCAGTGGAAAAAAACAACAACTGAAATAGCCATTAGATTTTTTTGGATATTTGTGAAAGTAAATTTGAAGACATGTTAGAAGTGTTAACATTCCAATTGTATAGGGAACTACAAAATGAACTGGGCTTTTTATAAATAAGGTGAACTGACAGTTTTTCAGATGTGGTGCTTTTGTTGTATTTGAAATTAATGATCTGAATTGATGAGTGAAGTCAGTCATTTTATTTTGCAAAGCAGTGTAATGTTGCTTGTTTTACCTGTTATTTCTTGATAAAGTGCTTTACTTTTACCTTTCTTGTGTTTGACCATCATACTCTTAACAGTATGTGATCATTGTTTCTTTGCCTTTTACTGTGATGTAATGTTTGCTTTTTTCCCTTAGCCTGGGATGTATCTTGATCTTCAAAATAACCAGGCATGCTATTTACATGAAACAGATAAGCATAACCATGTAAATCTTCATTGATTCCCTGAGAGGTGGTGTGTGTTTTTCGCTTTCCCTTTTTAAAAATATTTTTTTTTTTTGCTGGCAGCCTTAATAATGTTTTCATAAAATATGATGGATTTATAAGTCTGTTTAACATGCCTTTCCCTTTTTGTCTTAGCGTTTTGCTTCTAAGTTGCAGATGCAGTGGCTGAACAATACGCTGTGTGGTGTGACAGGTAAATTTCCCAATTTACCTGCCGTAATAGTGTGCTGTGTAATGCCATTCAATCATCTCTGAATTTTACTTGCCTGATTAGTTGAGTGAAGCAGATTTTCAATTTAAATGTAACTTCATCTGCTTGATTAAAAATGTAACAGAACATTATCTGCTGCAAATAAATTTCAGTGGAAGAGATGATTTTGCCTGTTTAAAAATAACATCTGTTTATATTGGCTGGAAGCAGACGATTAATACTTCTCTAATTTCGAGGTTTACCAGTCCAGCTCACCTGTCTCTTTGCATGGATAGTTGAAATTGATGGCTGTCGAGTATAAACATTTACCTGTTGATGTTTAGTTGATGGATTTCTTTTTTAAGGATAATACAGAATCCCATCATTGGGCATTCATTTATTTGCTGCTCATCAAGATGATTGACAGTTTTGCCAACAACATGGAAAAAGGATCTTCCTTCATGATGCATACGAGAAAAATTTTACCCCTCAGTGATGAGTGCCTTACAGAAAAACAGGTTCTTGTGAATTCTTTTTCATAGTTGGTATTTATTTGAATTCTGAGTTGAGGGTTCATGAGTATAAATTTAAGTCAAGTGTGTAGTAAATGAGGGTATGTAGTACTCTCCTGCTGGCATCTTTCATCAAGTGATTATATGTGTAGGCCGTAAGGACAATGAGGGGAAAAGATAGGAAAAACCAAAATGGTTATTTTTTTTTCCCCCGGCGCTTAGCATAGTGTTAGGCATGTAGTAGACCACTCAATAAATATTTATTGAATTTGAATTAAATATTAGATCAGGGTATATTTGATATTCTACAAATGTAACAAACTAGATTTAATTGGTTTAAATATATAGTTAAAAATTGTAGCAAAGAGAGATTATAGAATACTAGTTTCTCTTTTTTTAAATGAAAACTTCTTTTTAGGAGCTTATTAGAAGTATGTTTGTAAGTACAGAATTCTATAAATATCCTCTAGGAAAAAAAAAGGCACTGTTCACTGTTAATTTTCCTAACTGGCAGGTAAAATCAAGTTAAAAAAATAGAGGTAAAAAAATTCTAACACTATAAAACAGCAGTACAATCCAGTGGTTTTTAGTATATTTAGTATATAGTAAAACTGTTTTTTTAAAAAATTGTTATAGCTCCACAATCTCAAAAAATACTGTCCTTTTTTTTTTTTTTGAATGCTGTTCTTATTTTGGTAGTCTGAACATTTTTTTTGTAGAGGAATAATTTTGCATTATTTTGATAACATTGTTTTTCATAGAGCAAACAAAAATATTACTTTGACAGTTACTGAATTGATACATTGTAAACTCTTGTTTCCAATTGTAACATTTAGGGGTTCTTGGCCACATTATATATCATTTAAATCAAAACTCTATAGTCTGTATTTTTCAGGCAGATATTTGAGACCTGTGCCAAAGTACTTTTAATCAACTAATTAAGAAAATTAATCATTCTTTACTCCCAAACATGTAGGGTAAATTTTAACCTCCAATCACTTTTGCCAATTTGGACATTTTGGATGATTTGGTTGTTTTATTTACAAAAAGTAAATATCTGGGGGTTGAATCTTTTCACATCATTATGTTACTATTGGATATTTAGCAGAAATTTTTGCCTTAGTGCTTTAGGAGGACAGCTCAAACTGTAAAAATGTACAGATAGGTAAATAGAATCATATATATTTGGTATGTTCTGCAATTATAATCTTGTAATTTTGGCATTGTAACAAATGACTTTAATCTTATGTAAATATAAGATATGTAAGTTTAAAAAAAATCAGGTATGGTAAACATAAGACACTTAGAATATTTTATGGTGTAACTTTTTTTTATTACCTTGTCCTTCCTGTTTATTAATAATTTGCAAAAGGTAGATGAGGTATTTTTCTGTTTCACTTGTTCAGATGGTATTTAATGAAAAAGAATGAACTTAGAAGATCAGAGTCTATACCTGAAGAAGATGCTACTACTTAAGATTGTATCAAGGTGTTTAGGGTCTTTAGAGACATCTTAGTACTTCTGTGATTTGCTTTAACTTTAAAACTTTGTCATGTATCTTTAAAAGGGGGTGTTCATAAAGAATGTTCACAGCAGCAGCATTTACAATAGCCAAGTCGTGGAAATAACCCAAATGTCCATCAGTCAATGAATGGATAAATAAAATGTAGTACAGTAGACCCCCCCTTATCCGGCAGAAAGGTTTTGCTTTCTGCTGTTAGTTACCCATGGTCAACTGTGACTGAAAATATTAAATGGAAAACTCCAGAAATAAACAATTCATAAGTTTTAAATGGTGCACCGTTCTGAGAGTAGTGTGATGAAATCTGCTGTCCCACTCCGTTCCGCCTGGGACATGGACCATCCCTTTGTCAAGCGTATTTATGCTGTATCTGCAACTGGCCATTGAGTCACTTAGTAGCCATATCGATTATCAGAGAGAGAGAGAGACCACATTTATGTAACTTGTATTACAGTATATTGTGACAGTTCTATTTTGTTAGCAATTGTTGCTAACCTCTTTACCATTCCTAATGTATAAATTAAACTTTATCATAGCTATGTATGTATAGGAAAAAACATATATGTGTGTGTGTGTGTGTGTGTGTGTGTGTGTGTGTGTGTGTGTATGGGGTTTGGTACTATGTGCGGTTTCAGGCATCAAGTGGGAGGGTCTTGGAACATTGCCTCCATGGATAAAGGGGGAAATACTGAATATTCTTAGAGTGGAATATTATTCAGCCATAAAAAGGCACAAAGTACTGATACATGCTATAGCATGCATAAATCTCCAAAACATTATGCTAAGTGCAAGAAGCCAGACACAAAAGGCTACGTATTCTATGGTTCTATTTATGTAAAATATCCAAAATAGGCAAATCCTTAGAGATAGAAAGTAGATTTTAGTCACCAGAGGCTGGGAGGAGGTAGGAATGGGTAGTGACTCTGTTGGGTATGAGGTTTATGGACAATGTTCTGGAATTAGATAGTGGTCATGGTTGTATACCTTTACAAATTTATTAAAAACCATTGAATTGTACACTTTAAAAGGGTGATTTTTATGGTCTGTGAATTATATCCTATATTAAAAAAGGGCAGGGGTCAAATATTATAAGTTACTGGTTTATAGGCAGATTATTACCAGAAGAGCTGGCCTTTTTCATTCATCTTAGTATGTAAGACCATAATCTGATATATTAATCATAGAGGTATATTTTGTCTATAAGCTCTATCTTTATATTAGCATTATTTCTACTTATATGTTTTTACATATCATTTAAAGATTCCCCTCAAGAGTGCGAGCTCTGAGCAATAGCGGTTTGATTCCCGGCCCGAGCTGAGCTGCCACTGAACTGCCAACAGGTGGCAGGATGGCTCAGCTAAAAAATAAATAAATAAAAAGTAAAAAATAAAGATCCATAGTTAGGTTATAGAAATTTAAAAGATGAATATAAAACAGACTTTTATAATATCACGCTGTCTTGAAATTGTGCTATTATTTTTTAAGGTTTTAGTGCACTTGTTTCAGTTTGAGAGACTGAGAAGCTTTAAGGTAGATTGTAGATACTATATAAAATTGTAGAAATTTATCCTGCTGGAAATATTTAGAAAAATAAGAGTAATTCTATATCAAAATCAGTATATTTATAAACTTTAAATAAATCTAGTAATAAATTTTGTTGATTAAAAACTTTTCTTAGCATTTTTTTGCATTAAAAATCTTACAAATCAGCATTACTTTGTAAAATGTTCATGTGATCAAAATTAGACATTTTTTAAAATAACAGTACAATGTTTACTTTTTGAAATTGTGAGAATATTTGTTTTGTAACTCAGAGGAGAGAGAATAGGTACTTGAATACAAAATATTAATTCAGCTTTCAAAACCAATCCATTATAAAATATTGGTTGCTTTAGAGGTCAGTCATACTGAATTGTATGCTTTATTATTTGAAATGTGGTTTCTTTTAAACCTGCTGCAGAAATCCTTTTCCTTCAGTTATGTTTTAGAGTTGCTATGTGAGTATATTGCAGGATTGACTCATTTTTTTAAGGCTTGGGTCCCTTAGATATTCTTAGCAAATTGTTTTCACACTTCTTTCTTTTATATTCAGTTGAACCATTAAAAAATTGTTGATATTCAAATTATTTCGTTTTATTATTTTTTTAAGATTTTATTGGGGAATTGGGGGAGGGGACCAGGCAAGTTGTTGTTCTTCAGTCTTCATTGTGGAGGGCGCCAGTCGCTATCTGGCTTCCCGTCGGCAGCTCGTGGCCTCTAAGCTCAAGGTGCTGTGTTCAATTCTAGTTGCAGGTGGGCATAGCCACCATCCAGTGCAAGAGTCGAACCAGCAGTTTTGTTGTTAAGAGCGCACGCCCTATCCATTGAGCCATCCGGGCGGCAGCTCAGCTCAAGGTGCCGAGTTCAGTCTTAGTTGTGGGTGGGCATAGCCCACCATCGAACAGGCCATCTTGTTATTACACCAACTGAGCCATCCTGCCACCTGCTGGCAGCTCAGTGACAGCTCAGCTCGGGCGCAGATCATTGGCCCATGTGGGAATCGAACCAGCGACCCTGTTGCTCAGAGCTTGTGCTCTTAAGCCAGCTCTTAACCAACTGAGCCACTCGGCCAGCCCCGATATTCAAATTATTTTCACCTACAAAAATATCAATTTTACATGGTTCAACCCAATAGTAATTTACTTCAGGTTATTAGGCAAGTATGAGACAATTTCAATACTAATAGTAAGTATTTATCATTGTTCTTTCCTAAGCACTTTACATGGATTAATTCATTTCATCCTCCTAACAACCCAATGAATTGGTACTATTATTATCTCATTTATAGATGAGGAAATAGGTCTAAAGAGGTAATATCCTTAAGTAAGTGGGAGACTCAGGATTTCAACCCAAGCAGTCTTGGTGCAGAGCCCACGTGTACCACAATACTATGAGTATTTTCTTCTACTCTTGACCTAGCCCACTCTTCAC